GAGTTCTGATAACATAATGTGTTCAGATCTCCATCCAGAATCGTGGTACAACTGTTGCAAGAATTATGCTACATGGTGCTATATTTTTCTAGCACCCAAAGTTCCCGTTGGACCACATTACCTATCAGATGCATGCAAAGCCATACGGATTTCCTTCATGTCGTTTGTTTGCCATCTGTCCGGGATGCTGTTTTTCTTGAACTTTGGCTAGGTAGTTTTATACAGTGTATTAATTTCATATTTTAAACTGAACTCCTGCGAAGGAAATGGTATGTCCATGGATCTTGATTTTATTATGGTAAAGGTTGATTGCCAGCTGAACTCTTCTAATAATCAATAATCCTGATTACCTTTCCAAAATTGAGATATGCACTTGCAAGGAAATCCAAAAGGGATCAAAGATAGTTTGTAAAATAATAATTGAAACACTATGTATGTGTAGTAAATGCTTCAAATGTGTCACTAACCTATAAAAATAGCGCAGATCCTTTATTCGGGCCAAATTCTGTTCATATGACTCATGCCCGTAATCCCTTTAAAATTATGTGGCAAATAGGACTACTCACGTGATCAAAATAAACCGGTTTTGCCCCGAAATTCTTAAGCACAAAGAGGCACATCGATTTTATTTTATTTTGGCTCTTTATTTTTAGTTTATTTTATTGCAAAGCTCTCTAGACTGTAACAGGCGTTCTCCGCTTGAAAGAAGAGTAACTCGCTATGGCCCGAAATATTTTATGGCACATATGCCATAAAAGAGGAATCTAAACAGTGAAAACTAGCTAAGTAACATGCCGGGAAAGATATAGAACGTGTGCTTTCCAAAGAAAGAAAGAAAGAAATGCTTAATTGTAATGTTATGATACATTATATTATTATTTATTCAATTATTATACATTTAATTATTTCTGTATTCGCTCCATTTATTTATCAGTTTATTTAGGCTATGTCTAGCTAATTTCTAAGTTAATACAATAGAGCTATTTTCGAAAAAATATTATGAATACGTTTTTTTTATAAAACCCAAATCATGAAATTCTCTGATTAACATCTATCTATCTATCTATCTATCTATCTATCTATCTATCCCCCGCTGCCATAGTGTTAGCTCCTGAATAAGTGTTACTTACGCTGTGCATCTGTTTCGTAATATAAATATATTATTTATACGACGTATATCTCAAACGAAATCAACATGTCAATTTCCCGAGTTTATGAGCGATAATTCCTGAGAACCAATATGCTCATGGAAACGCTCTCAAGACTACATCCAAAACGTGAGCTGCCATTAGAAAAGGGCTAATAAATTCCTATTAAGTATGCATTTATGCAGTGATTACGTGAACTTTGACCTCTAAAGAGTTGCTGCAATTAGCCGCAACGTCCACCACTTTCCTCCTGGATCTATGTTTTTTTAACTCTTTTTTTGGTAAATGGTGGACCAGAAGAGAATAAAAACACACGGTTTAGACAAATTAATGTCTAAATTAATTCTGAAAATTCCTCCTGCACGCTTCCCTACAGATAGCTCTAGATAGATATTAAGATCCTGGTTCTATTATGGAAACACAAATGTTCTCCCATTCAATCTTGTGCAGTGCTTTCCCTGAAAGGTAGTCTCTGAAAGACCTTTTTTAAATTAATTATATCTTTTAAAGGGTTTATTTTAAGAATCTATGCCAATCTATTTTAATAGCTATTCGTGGTTTTACCAACAGTACGGATAATTGACGGAGAGAGCGAAACAGAAGGGGGGAGGGAAGCAAAGTCTCAGCAAAAGAGAATAAAATGTTTTAAGTTTTTAGTAAACATCGCTTAGCAAAAGAATAATCGGAAATTTGCCGCTGTCGTAGAGAGAGGCTGAATCTGTAATTGTTGCCTTTACCAGAGCACTGAGATAAACCACTGGGACTCATTCTAAAGTGACCCATCACTGAATTCATTTCTGCTTGAACTTTCGGTGAACCTGAGATTAAACAGGGGTGAGCAGCTAAGCAGTTTGTTGTTAGCTGCCTTTTCAACAACCCTTTCAGACTGAGTAAATATTGATCTGTTTCAATCTGATAGCCCCAGAGGAAAACACCAAAGCATCTCAACAGCCTCCAAAAGTAAACTTTAAAGGTGAACGCCAGTATTATAGAAAGATGCTAAACTTCGTTTGACATTTGGACGCTTAAAAAATGACTATAGTAAAAACAAACGAATTGTAAGAGATTTAAAAGAAAATGAACCTCTTTGTCAGGTCAAATAATGCTTTTATTATTAACATTATTTTATGTCGCCCTCTTTACTTTCAGTTACAAAAATCAGGCGTCGGAAGTGTACAGATTTTTATTCCATTTTTCTTTTTTAACGATTTGTTGTAGCGAAACCCAAGACAAGGCTTTGAAGCAGAACGTGTTAGGTCCCTTTGATGTAATCTATTTGGGCAGCAAAAAGATACCCAGGTTTTCGTTGAGGAAAGGTAAAGGGTTCTTTGGAAATGAATCGCTTGCCTGCAGATTTACGCAGCGACAAGCAGGAACTGCTACATTTAGTGTAGAACGTTTTGCTATGCTTTCTGTTCCATTAAGCCATCACCGGGGAGCCAGGTTGCAGAACCAAATTCCAACATGTTTGGATACAGTTTTCGATATTGAAATCACCTCATTGGCATGCAAATGGCACTTTAACACATTAAAGGATCGGGAAGAGAGCCATCTGTTTTACTTTGTGGCCTTACACTAATAAACAAAAGGTAAAGTATAAGCCAGGCGGGGAAATGAAAGAAATATCTGCCTCTGCTTTGAAGTTCTGCTGCATTCACAGGAGCCTTTGGAGACAGCCCTGTGCTATTGCAGATCTCTTTGCTCTTGATATGGCCGACGCGCCTGCAAATCAAGGCTTGTCTTTTTTGACACTGAAGTGAAGAAAATTTCGTTGACGCTCTATAGAGCCTCCAAGCAGAGTCAGCCGCTTTATGGGCAGCCCAGCCTTTGTAAAGCTTGCCTACAGATGTGCAGGGAAGGAATAAGATGTTATTTGTTTGGGCTGAAATTCAAAAGCTAGCATCAATTTTATACCTCACATGTCTAGCTGAGCATGTCTGTACTCAGCCCTGAAATACAGTCAATAAAAAGAGGGGGGAGCTTTCTTTCAATCTGCAAATTGTATTAACTTGAATCGAAGTATTTCAGGATTTCCTAAAATTTACCTGAAAGAACTTGTTTTACGCACAGCGAAAACATCCAATCGGTGTAGATTACTGTGCTCTTTGGCAAGAACAAGTTGTGTGTATCACCTGGGGGCGAAATTCTCTTTGAAATAAGGGGCAAATGTGTAGCATTAGAGTTCCATCTCCGTGAAGAAGAAGCACTCAACTTTCCGGTTGTTAACGTCCTAAAGATGTCACTGGCAATGTAAAGAGGAGGGAGAATGAAGCTGCATTTCTTGGGTCAACTTTATACTAGGGATAATGAAATGTGACTCTCTTAACTATTGGCCTACGATGTGAAGAAAGACTGGCTGAAGACAGTTTCTTGCTTTTGAAGAGTGCTCTGTTTATAGATATGTCAACGTTCAGTTCGAGGTGAAAAGGTTAGCACTTGAACCAGGAAGTGCTAGTATTTGCGTTTCAAAAATAGATCTAGTTCATAAATTCCCTCGTGCTGCAACAGAGAGGGGAGTTTTCTTATATTTTCTAAAGATAATATTGGTGAAACATGAAAAAGGAATCAGGCTTGTGTGATGTGGCACGGTTGAAAGGAACCACAGAGTTCTGACCTCAGCACAATAATGATTAGGAGAAATTACTTTTTATTAAGTAGCATATCAAAGGCCACATCAGTGAAAATGAAGAAACTGAAATGTTGAGCTAAGTATGATCAACAACGGCACAAAAAAAGTACCCAAACCAAGTATACCTGAAAGGTGAATATATTTATTACAGACATTTTAGGACCCGTAAATTTTGCTCTGGATTCATCATTTACAGAATCTCAGAACCTTTAATGATTGTACAGAAAATCAGGAAGATGGTTTGCTCACAAATGACAACTGATAAAACTCAGTGTACCTTAAGTACATCAAAGCACTGTGCGTCATGCAAAGTTCCATACACGAATCACATAAAATATACATTCATTTGGCCATTCATCACATTTACGATTTGGTCGAAAAGACATCAAGTCTAAGGAAGGATTAATATGAAAATAGGAGTAGGTCAGGTCTTTGGGATAATATACCCTTAGGTCCAATACAATCCAGCACAGATGGGGGGAGGTGGGGTGGGAGCACACTAAGCAAAGTTTACAAAACCTAGTGCAATTGAAGCTTTTTTCTTCTATCTCATTAAAAGAAATGGTGCTATTATTTGAGGTATCTGATTGACATTAACAACTTTAGCTGATATGATCATCAGTTTTAACAATATAAAATTGAATCAACTTTGAGAATGTACCTACCCTATTTAATCTGATAATCTAGACATCATTTCTAAAAAATCTGTAAAAAGATAAATCTCTTGGACAAAGTATTTACAACCAGCAAACTCATACACACGAAAAAGAATACATTAAATTAAAGGATGAAAGGTCTATAATTCGTGTAAACACTTTCAATAGTGCATCTCTTCATGAGGTTATGTACTCCATATATCCTGTCTTTATGTAAGGAAAAATATAGAAACGTCCTTGCAATTTTATTCTACTGAGAGAAACTCTTAACTGTGCCAACAAATCTTCTGCAGCAAATTGCAGCGCTAGCTGGAATTTTAAAAAATATGAATTTTGAATAAGTGGTCATCAGAAACCTGATTATGGAAACCACTAAATTGTTTAGTTCTGCATAGACTAAACAGCTGGGGGAGCCTTCTAAAACCAAATTCTCTTTAAACAAGTTGATTGATGTAAAGATGACCTAAAGATTAAAATATACTTTAAATCAATAAAGCTTTGCTAAAAATGTGGTTTTAGAGTGGGAGTCATATATCTAAAACAGTGGGGGGGAGGAGCAGAAATATTTCAATTTGAGGTAGTTAGAGTGTCTGAGGTAGATGAAGCTGGTGAAGGGGTACATGGGGATGAACTGGACTTTTCTGATGATTCCTCTGTTTTTTCTTCACTTCCTGTCGGGGTAGCAGGGGAAATAGGTAGCAACCCCTCTTTCTCTCTTTTCTTCTGCTTCATCCTACGGTTCTGGAACCAGATCTTCACCTGTGTTTCATTAAGTTGCAGTGAAGCAGCTATCTCCACCCTCCTGGCCCTTGTCAAGTACTTGTTGAAATGGAATTCTTTCTCCAGTTCTGTGAGCTGCTTAGTGGTAAAATTGGTTCTAACGGTGTTGGGCTGACCTACGTATCCGTACTCTCTAGCTTTCCCTGCAAAAGTATATGAAACGTTAAATAAATGATATATAGGTGACATAATCAATATGTACACAGAGGTAAAACGATATGGAACAAGAACTTCTTAAAAAGAGGGACAGTGAGTGATGGAGTGTGAGGTGCTAACATAAAGTCGGCCACTAGTGTGTATCAAAGGAAACTTGATAAGTTGTTTACAAATTACAAGAAATATTACCACAGAAAAACCAGCATGGAACTGCCATTATATCAGATTGATGAACCTGTCCATACTCAGAGGTCTCCGATCTCCTTACCTATAAACAACAAGGCACCTGTACACTATAGGTCAGAAGGCAGCATGATTTGGGTTCGTTTTGTTTTATTAAAGAAAGTGGAAGAGGAAAGAAACAGCCCCCTGCTCTGAAATCACGACTAACCTGTTTTAGGCGGGTTTCTTTTAACTTTCATCCAGTCAAAGGTTTGTGCTGGAGGCGAGGTCTCTGCAGAAGGAGAGCGACAAGCTTCTTGGTGGCTGGCATGGAGAGGGGATAAGGAATTACTATAACTCGCTAGAGTCAGATTCTGCTGCTCTTGTCCGTATGGGGGGTGAATGTACTGAGCGGGACCCACCGTGCCCCCAGCATAACCTTGGTGGGAGTGGTGATGCTGGACCATGGAAGATGAGATAGTTCCAGAGTAAACGGCCGGGGTGCATGGGGGATACCCTCCACTTACATCTGCTTCCTGATTTAGTGCGTAGTGACTGTAACCCGCGCTGAAGTTCTGGGTGCCATATCCCGGGCTACAGCTAGAGTGCGAGTAGGACATGCCCAGGTTGTTATGATGCTGGTAGGCACCGGTCTGGTGGTGGTGATGGTGGTGGTGATGGGGACTTATCTGGACCCCCCTGCCAACCATAAAGCGATCGTCCCCGTTGCAGTTACTGGCAGTGACCGCACAGGACTGGAAAGTTGTAATCCCATGATCTGGGGGAGGATAGGCTCGGGAAGAGCATGCCCCGGACTCTCCGCTGAGGATGGGGTAATCGAGGAAGGAACTCATCCTCGCCGTGTCCATTTATCACCGAGTGACCGGGTCTTCGGAGTCCTGGGTGACCGTGCCAACTTTCTCACTTCCTCCATGGGGCCAGGAGAAAAATGATATGAATGTACAGTGAGAGGGGGACACGTGAGGGCGGCAGCCAATGGCTGAGCCTCCTGCTAAAATTTCCCTGCTCCTGCTGGTGATGGATCACCGTTCCAGTGGCATTTAAATTCCGAGCGCTCCTCCATCAAGGTGACGCGGAGCCACCACCACCTCCTCTCGCCCCCCCCCCGTCCCCCCTCCCCCTTAGCCAGTGGATTGGGGCTTCAGAGCCGGGGCCAGAGAGACAGTGTGAGCCCAGGCGCTCAGCCTGCAGCAGCTGACGCGGAGGCGCCTCTGGAGGGGGGTGGAGGGGGGTGCTCGTGCTGCATGGATTACAGGGCTCGGAGACCCAGCTGGAGGAACCCAGGTAAGACAGGCGCTCCCACGCTTTCTGCTCGCACAGCAGTTAGTGGCCGCTCCCTTCCCCGGGGCGCGCTTGGGAGGATTTCTGCCACCATCAGCACCGCTCCGGGGGGAATCTCCTTTACGGATGGCTCGACAGTGCACCGCTCTTGCTGGTGCGGTCAGGACAGCCCGTCCCCCCTGCCCCCCGGCTGGCTGATCCTTGTGCGGGGCCCAACTGGACGGGCAAGCGGGCTGTGCAGAAGGGAGCCCCGCGCAGCATTTAGGGGCTGGAGGCATGCGGCTGGGGGGGGGGGGGGACCACGCCTGGGTGTCCCCTTTCCGGGAGCCTCCGCAGAGCCCCGCGCTCGACCAGCCAAGAGTTAAAGGGGCTTGTCCATCTCCGTCCCCATCGCGCCGATGTTATTAGCATGGAAATGAGGCGCTTTTGTAATTTAACCCCATTGTGCTGCAGGCAGGCGGGCTCGCCCGGCTTCTGCCACCGCGCCCAGGCATGGGGCGCGGAGCGGCCGGAGCGCTGCTGCAGCGGCCCCTATTTGAGGCTCTGCCCAGCTAACCAGAGGTTACGTGAGCTCAGTCGGTTTCGGGGCTGGGGAGGGAGCACTGGAGAGGGGGCAGGAAGATGAATGACGATTGCAAACGGGGGGGCAGGCAGGAAGCTTTTCCAGGTTCTGCAATCCATCTGCTGGGGTCCCGCGGCGCCCGTGCCACACACACGCACACACACACACACACACACACACACACAATGCGTGAGATCTAGGAACAGTTCCTAACGATAAACACACCCAAACACCGGATGACATGCCCAGGGGTAAGGGGCGGGGGGAGAGAAAAGGAGGTGAAGGGCCACTGCAGTCCCTAACTCCAATTAATTCTCTTTGTCACTTGGTGGCTGCGTACTCCACCACAGAGTATACAGAGAGTAGAGGGGAGAGTAAACAGATGGCTGCTGGCAGAGGTCCCCCCCCCACACACACACACACCCTGTGTGAGCTATCTCAGAATGTACTAAAACTTTCTCTTGTTCCAGACAAGGAAAATAGAACTGATGTATAGAACAGCATGGATGATAGTTGGTATTTGCCATTGATTTCACATTCACCTTATCTATTCAGACGGATACAGGCAGTTACAGAGCTAGTCAAACATGTGCAGCCAGCCACAGAACTTCGGAAATAGTTTTATTCTTGTCTTTTTCAGCCTGGCGAACTGTGTGTGGATTTATGCAGATGCACTTCAACTTTGGCAGATTTTGCATTGTCATCATGCCCGATTGATTGTTGTTTGTATTTTAAAATATAAAGGGCTATTTCCGCCTGAACTCTCCAGCTCCCTCCCTCCAGCCACCCACACATACTAAGTGCAACATCCTCTTCCAAGTGATAAGCCACCAAAAGTGTTCGAGGCTCCTATTATGCCACCCATGTATCCATTTCACCTCCACAGCCCCCCCTGACGCCACCGAAAAACGAATATATGTTCCCCCGTCCCAAGTGTATCCATAAAAAGATTTATCCTTCTATTTTACAATTTACAAACATGCCTAGATAACAGCCGTTTGAAAACTTTCGATTTCTTAAAATCCGTGGGGGGTGGGAAGTCCAGCAAGCATATATGGAACGACGCTCAACCTTTTTTGGCTGCAGTATTGTCTTATTTAATTCTTGTCAATCAGTTGTGATAAGTGCTGTATAAATCAGGTGCAAACACAGGCTGGTGTATCTGTTTACCAGAGATGGCTTTTTCCAGGGTGGTTTTTTTTCCACTACTTTAACGATTAACAAAACTGTTTAGTATACCGTATATGTATAATTTATTTATAAACATCGTTGATGTTATACCATCACATTAAAAGAACAGAATTGTTTACTAAAAGAACAGTAAACTTCTCTCTATTTAAAATCAACATATCTGCAAATCTATCTGCACATAGAAATCCTCTCTATATATTTACCCCGTAATTTTTGCCAAATAACAGCTCCTCTGCTTCCTTTAAATCGTTTCCCTTCATTTCTGTACCATTGTTTTGAAGAAATCCGCGTCTTTTGTTACATTGTCTCTCCTCTAATGCCTCGAATTCTGCTGCCATTACAGAGCCTCAGTGCAACATAATGGGAAGGGGATACATCAGGGATAAATACCTCTTCATACCCCCAACGAGGAAAGTTGCCATCGGACACGGTCGCAAATGCACACAAAATTCAGAGCTGTGCTATTTTAAAAGTCAAACCTTTCTGCTAGCCCCCACCCTGCCTCCTTTGTTGCTTCGGTCCATCGTGGTTTGCAGAAAGTCGAGTTTGCATCTCCAGCAATTCAAGCCTTTGAAGCATTTCTGCTGCCTGATGCACATTCTTGGGACATTCCCCAAATAATACGCTATGTGTTTCACCCTCCCCCCCCACACACACACACACTCAAGATTTAGGGGTTACAATGAGTTTCTTAGAGGAATTCTATCTCAGATAGATTTGCAGATATTGATTTTAAATATATCCTGAGAGACGTTTACTGGTCTTTTACTAAACAATTCTGTTCATTTAAGATGCTATGACATCACTCTGTATATACATCATATATAAATATCTAAAAGCCAATCATATATTAACAATTAAATCCCATTGGAACCCTGTAACATGCGTTAAAATACTCGACGAAACTGCCCTCTTACCAAAGCGAAAGTGCTGAAGCAGAGAAAGAAAAGAAGCAGGCCCGAGGTTTTTGCGGCATCCGCAGCTTAGCCAATCTGTTGTTTTAAACGAGCAATAAAAATGAATTATGACTAAACGCCTTCGAACTTAATGGTTTTAGACGGGGATCCCCGGCTCCGGCAAATGCGTAAGAGGATTTTTATTTGTGCATGTGTTCCTGCCATTGATCTCTTTGATGACATTCTCATTCATAGAAAGAGTGTGATTTATGAGTTTAGGAAGAATTGCATCCAACCCCTTCCAGCTATTGCCCACGCATCTCAGCTCCACAACGTGTTGCGGATCAGAGAAACAACACACCTCAAATGAAATGGAAACAAACTACTTGAGACAAATGAATCCATTCACTGTGTTTCAGAAATAGTCCGGAATACTCAAAATCAAGGGTCGAGGGATATGTGGGCAGCAAAACTACCTGCTAGCATCTGTTGCTTGATTTTAGAAGAGTAAAAAACGCTCTCCTGAACTGGGTGATTCATATCGATAATATTCTTACCAAATTAGCTGGAATTTTTAATGTGCTTCTTTACTGCTGTAACTGAGAAAGTAACACATTTTGGACAGTGGGCCGCTGAACTGGCTCCATTAAAATTTAAACATGTTAACCATTAGCTTCCAGTTTTAATGATCAACCCTTGGCATCGCAAACCGGTTTAAAAAGAAAGGGATTTTTTTGTTATGGGACCCCCGCAGAAATCTCCGAAAGAATGGCACTAAGAACTTAAGTCCGTCCTAAATGTATTTTTACACATAATAACATTTTTTTTATTTCCTCTCTTTTTTTAGATATATTTTCTTGGGACCTTTCAGCACATGGGAGCTAATCCAAGGCGTACTTTGTTAGCATTTGTATTTTTAAAGAAGTGTTTCAGAAAACGACTTGCTGGACACCTAAGCGTTGAGTTATAGAAAAATACGATGCTTGAAATGAGCCAGTTTCTATAGCAGGCACGTTCCCCATTTACAATAGATTCTATTTTGTCTGTAACCGCAAAGCTGCATATATATGGTGTTTGTCACAGTTTAGAAAATGCAAGACTTGTATTCACACATAGAATAACGTGTTATGTGTACATTAAAAGGAAGAAATCTTTATGTGACCTCTGGGTGTTTTAGTTATATTTGTTTGTGAGAATCATCGGGTATTTTGACTTGACTTATGAGAACCTTTGCAATAAAGAATTTAAATGTGATTTTTTTCTCTCTGATAAATATATTAAATTACCAAAAGGAGAGAGTTTGTGACCAGAATGTCTTAATTTTATTTCTGATGTTAAATAAAGGGGGGGGGGAGAAATACCCGTTATGGTCTGAGTCTAGAGAGAGAGAAGAAAGTTACTTGTAGCAAACAAGAATTTATTCTACCAAAAATACTTATGACAACGCATCCTAATGTAATACAAAAATAAAAAGAAAGTGAAGATACAATTCTATATGATCACTTTCTTACAGGCCTCATATATTGCTTTCATAGAGGGACCTAGAATGTGGCTAGGTTAAACTGAACACAACTAAAACTTCATAAGAAACAGTAAAAATGGCTCTGGAACACAGTAAAGGGAATTAATAAACAGAAAATACTGACCAGGAAAAGAAAAATAAAAGAAAGTAATTTGAAACAAGCCATGACCCTTGGCGACAGGACGTCTTTAATTTCTCAATAATTCAGATGCTGCAAGTCAATTGTAGTGAGTGTGTCTGTAAAAAAGTCAAAACTGTCAGCAGAAATATCTACAGGACTGTCCAGAGATCCTGGCAAACTGGGTGAAACTGCATCTGAAAGCTGTAGGCAGGAATCTGTGGAGAAAACGTTAAAGTCCTGTAAAGAAGGGACATCTAGGGCCTCAGGACTGTCATTGTTCAGGCCAGCTGCACAGTTCTGGGCCATTGTTGATAGGCAGTTTTGAACAGTGGGTGACTGATGCTGAAAATGTTTCAGATTTTTCTCATTGCTTGTTAAAGGCGAAACTGGGAAACTTTGGGACTCTCCATTGTGTACATTCTGAGCCTGCTGTTGAGATAGTGCATTTTGTTGAAAAGTGTAACCTTCCCTTTCCAAAAGAGCGCCTGAGACATTATTGAGGGTTTGCTCAAAGAGCGATTTCTCCTCCTCCTCCTCTTCTGCTTTCTCGCTGTCCTCTAGATTCTTAAATTTCCCCTCACTGTTTTGGTTCTCCTTACACTGGGTCTGTCTCTTGTGCTTCATCCTTCTGTTCTGGAACCAGACTTTTACTTGTCTCTCAGTCAAATCCAGCAAAGCTGCGATCTCTACCCTCCTTGGTCTACAGAGATACTTGTTGAAATGAAATTCTTTTTCTAGCTCCAAAAGCTGGGTGTTGGTATAAGCCGTCCTCAGCCTCCTAGATCCACCGTTACCACTTTCGGGGATTTCATGAGACTCTGTAAAAACAGATAAATGCACAGTATGAATTTTAGCATCCCAGCACATTCCACCTCAGCGAGGGGAAAGATATATGTGTGTGTATATATATATATATATATAGCATAAAATATCAACTGCAACAAAATGGCCGCCCTTGGCTGCAGTAAATCCATTGTGTTGCACTCCTGTGCTCCCGATACTGTGGACCCCTTTCCACCTCAATAAAATTATTGCATCTAGCTCCCAAACCTACCAGAGCAAACTTTATATTAGCCATACTACAATTTATAATTAATGCATCAGCTGCTTAGCTGAGCAGGAGCAATCTATCACTCTTCATTACTGTCAAATATCCTAACTCTAGGACAGCAAGACAAGAGGAGGTCAGCTCCAACTCAGATAAATCATCCCACATTAAACAAGTTAGGAAAAGTTTGGGGTTTTAATAACACTGTGGAGCCCACCAGTTTATTTCCTCCTCCTCCTCCAAATCATTTCCAGTGAAGTTGGGAAAGCAACAATCCAAGGAAAAGGGCTAGCTCTAGGGGAAAGTCTTTGAACTGACCTTTGTGGCTTAGGCAGGCTGGTCCAGTGGCTGAGGCTGAGGCCGAAGCAAGCGGGAGGGTAGTTTTCTTGGAGGCTTTTTTCTCTTTCATCCAGGGGTACTCCGGAGGCTGCAGGGCGCCGGCTGGCACCGGGCTGCTGCTGCTGACATTGGGGCTCTGCTTGGGACGGCTGCTGCTGGTGTGGCGAGGGTGGCTGCCTGGGTTCAGGCTGGGGATGGTCTGCTCAAAAGGAGGAGGAATCAGTGTCGAGTGTGAAAGCGTCGAGTTCTTGATTGATGAACTTTGAAATGTATCACCGACAGGGGGAAAAGATGTCAGGCACTCAGCAAGCGATGGCTGACTATTGATAAAACCAATCTCTCGCTCAAATTCGAAATTCATGGCCTTCAACTCGCAGCCCCCTTGGAGAAAAAGTTCCCTCTTATTGAGGGTTTTTGGGGGGGAGGGGGGAAAGGCCCAGGAAAAAGGAGAGAGAGAAGAAAAAAATATATCATAGAAGATCGCTGGTGGGGTGTTTTTTTTCTAATTCACTGATTACAGCCGTATGGGGACCGTGCTACTATTAAACTATTGAATTCATGGAGACAAGGTTGAAATTGGACCGAATTGGCTGTCACATGATTGCCTCTGCCCAATGACAATTTGGGCTTTAATCAAAAGAAGCCACTGTCTGTTTGATTGATCCAAAAAAGTCGGGAAGGAACGCCTCATTGGGGGCCAGAAAGGCTTTATTTACACTTTTTAGGGGGGAAATTATATATCTGTATCTATCGGCTTTGCGTCCTAATCTGAAATGATCTGTGCGTGCGTGTGTGTATGTATGTGCGTGTGTGTGTGTGTGTGTGTGTGTGGTTGCTTGTCCTGCAGACTGCTGCCCCTCTTGTCTCCTCCCGCACACTCATCTCATTGTTTGGGACTGTCAGGAAAACGCTTTGCACCTCGCAAATCATTTAAGCACCTCAATCTGACGCTTTGAGTCATTAACAAAGTAATCCATTAATCTTCAAAGTTTTGACACCTAGGGCCCCCACATCTCGGACACATAAGAAGTTTCACCCAGGCAGGAGTTACTGGCAGAGAGTCCTGCTTTTTTCCTGGGGAATAGCACTTCCCCTAAACTAGTTTACTGCTCCCGAATTGGCATCTCTATGACACTTTTGCTTTGGGGGGAGAGAGTATATACAGTATGGAGAACAATTGGCCGCCGATCTCTGAGCCCATTGTTTAGCAGGATTTTCCGCTGCAGCCTTGCTCCTATGGGAAGAATAACATCGAAACAGCTTTATGGTCATGACTTTTCACTGCAGTTGACTTCACAGAAGTGGACCATAATATATATATCTATATCATGTAGATATAGATATATATACTGTAAATATTCTAAGCAATCTAGTGCATTAGTTTGTAAACTATACTCGCGTCTGCTGACATGTTTTGCTTAATAACCGTAGTAGACTGGGTCTGGTGAGTATGTTCAGTTGCAGGGAAATATATTGGAAGGTAGTGTCAGATATGTATATAAATATTAATACGTCAGTGGAAAAATGCTGCAAGGATTCTAAGTTGAATAACTGTACATGATCTAAAAGCATTTGCTTTGTTTACAATCGTTTTGATTTACCACTTACAAAGCTATTAAACTACTGAACGCTGATGTTTTGAAACAATCTTTCCAATCAAATCGAGAAGAGTGGTAAAAATATGATGCTAATGGCTATATTTATTATTATTATTATTTATTATTATTATTATTATTATTATTATTCAACACAATGAACAAATCCGAAATTTTATTTTCCACAGCACACAGGTCATATGTGTTTCGTGCAGCTTTTTATATTCAAGATGAAAAACGTCATTGTTGTGCTTTTTTTTTTTTTTTTTTTAATGGTCTAAGGAAGCCAAATCAGCCTACCGCTGGCAATAGCTGCTCTATTTCGGAATTGCATTGAAAGGAATCGCCAGAATCTTTGTAAGCGGTTCAAATAACAAACTGATCATTAGACCTCCCCTCTATCCGAGGTTGACCAAAACCCTTCGGTTTGAAGCTAATAAATCCACAAGATGAAGTATATCTGGGAAAGGCTCGGGAGGAGGAATGGGGTTGGGGCATTTTAACGGGGGGTTGTTTTGTTAGGTTGTTTAAATAAAATATAGAACAAGACTTGTCATTTAATACCTCAAAAGGGATGCCTTATAAATATAGATGCTGTTGGAAAATGCTAGGGGTTTAATTTTCTTGCTTTTACTCCAAACAAAGCTCTGGTGATGCCTGCGCGTGATCAATCTTGTCCGCCAAAAGGTTTGACAGCTACTGGCCCTTAAGAACACATTTAAACCTTCTTGCTCTTTCCAAGATCAAATGTGACCGAGCAAAGAAGGAGAGCAAGAAACGCAAGTAAACAAGGAAAAGGGCTCCTTTTAAAAATGTACTGTTACAGGGTTATTCTCAGTATTGTGGGAACAGTACGTTTCTATTTGGCTTAGTGCTGGGGGTTATTTTTCCTTTAAAATATTGGAATTAACAGTAGGATGAAAAAAGCAATAAAGGGAGAGAAAGAGGGAGATTTGGAGTGTAACGAGGCTTTGTAAGTAAAAACCGTGTGGGTGTAGGTATCCTGTGCATTTATTTGTTTATTTATTTATTCTATTTATTTTCTTGTGGTCGGTGTAATACAAAAACCACCTGGAACAAAAGGTTTTTCTCTTCGGACAATGAACGTAACATACTTGTAAAAAATCTATTACTCTGCCTTTATAATTATGTGTTAATCAATAGATTTTTTTAAAAAATCCACTATAGAGATCTAAAAATTAAAACAAACAAGATGTATGATATATTTTTTCTGGAAAGAGTACGGGAAATTGCGCTCATATATATAATTGGAATGAGAGGGAGGGGAGTAGAGAGCCGAATTCTTTCTAATATTTTTATAAATTGAATTATCTGTGCTAAAAGAAGCAACACATGAAGAATTCATAGATTCTGACATTTCCTTTGATTTTATTTAACCTGCCTAAAACAAGAGTTGTTTAAATAAAACAGAAACATTTCCAAAATAATCCTTTCTGGATTTATCAATTGCCAAAATATATTTTCTTCCTCTTCAGATTAATGTTCTAGCCTAGGTCAGTTTTGAATATATATTATGATTCAATGAAAAATATCAGACAGATTCTAAGCAACCTTTTCTTCAGTTGAGGTATATATATATATATACTGTATATGTATACAAAATAAATATATACAAAATCGCTTTCTTTGACTGAAATGTTATATATATTTTTGCAGAACACGTATATATAGATTCATGGATACATTATAATATTTTCAACAAACTTCAAGCTAGGATGATTCTCAAAACAAGATAAAGACTCACGATTAATAATATTTTAGAGTGAGACCAAAATGGCGACATTTTTCCTGTGCATTAAAAGGTACAGATACTGAAAAGCATGGGTTAATATATACATGGCATATGTTTATGTCTCTATATACATATATGAGTATATTTCACCCGAGTCTATTAAGGTTCACCCTGATTTATAGCCTGAATTTTAAAAATAAGGTCACATAGTATTATGAAAGAAAAATCTTATTTTAGTATGTTAATTTGCTTCCCTGGTTTCCAGTTAATACAGATTCCTATCGGAATAGCCTTGCATGTGACTAGCTTGCTAATTTATTATCGAAAGCCATGCAAAGAGTAAGTATTTTACAATATTGCATTTTTTAACCGAAAGCTAGAGCGCGCTTGTCTCCCCTCCCCCACCAGGGCCAGAAAAGGGAGGAGGTGAAGTCGGGTGAAGTCGGGTGGGAAGTCAGATTAACAAAAATGAAAAAACACAAAATCGGGTCATTTTTTTAAAAAATCATAGACGAATAGGAAGCAACATATTGAGAAGAAAATATTCCGAACTATATTGTAATCCTGTTTATGAGCCTGAACAACTAGCTTTGCTTCCAAAAAGTGTAAACAAGCCTAAACAGCTGGTTTCTTCTGGTTTCTTCTCTAGTGGGGTGATGAACTGTATTTCTCACTATTACATTTTGTTTTTAATTTGTGCCTTCAAAATATCCATATACATGATATTTTTATTCTTCGCTCTCTTTGCTTTATTTAATTTCCCCCTCCTCCCAGCACAATGTAACAGTCGATGAATTGTCTGTTTTGACCCTGGGAGGAAAAGTGTGGGAGTAGAAATCTCCCAGCTTTCAAAAGGTCCCTCCAGTGCAGAGGCGAGAAGAGCCTTTTCCATACGGACGGCTGTTGGTGAAGTGGGTTCCTGCAGGGGAAAAAAAGAGCCCAACATGGCGAAATCCAACATTCCTAGAGCAAGGACCAGCTTACCCTTACGAGCACTGTCTCGGGAATCACTCTGTTCGGCGCGGGCACCTGAGCTTTATGTGGAGCAGTGTTGTTTGCGAAATAAACGTGGTTTTGTTTCTGACCCAAATAAATATTATTCAGACAAAAATATCCTCCCCATAGCAGTGCCTGTAAGCATGCCTGCAGCTCAGCACCTAACGTTATGGACACAAAAGGCGGATCGTTTGCATCCTTGGTATTTTCAACGCTGAAACTGTCACAGCTCATAAGACATATTGGGATTTGCCAATTCACTGCAGGTTTTAAAACCTTGATAAGGAAAATAGAAGGGGTTGGAGGTTACGTGGGTATCGGATACGTGTGTGTATCTGTTCACTTAGTGATCACATGGCTTGGGTCTTTTTTAACAAATAATCGTTTCTTAACTCTTTATTATTCAGAATAAAAACTTTATTTTTTTCAGAATGTGAGCAGCAAGGAATGTATAACTTTCAAAACAAATCTAGTCTTTTCAGGTTTACACATTTTCCATTTAGCTGGATGTTACAAGCATAAATTATTCAATTTGTGATCAATTTTTTTTCAGCTTTTATTGCATTATTATATTTTTAAATAAAGGAGTAATAGTTTCCTTTCAAATGATATTTCCTACTTATGCCAATATGCCATCTAACATACGGCCAGGTAAATACCTCCTGAATATTCAGGGTACAGAATTTTTTATATATATATAAATATGAACAGATGGGGATAAATAAAATTTTAAACACTTAGATTATTCAATGTTTTCAAAAAAAATATAAATTAATCTGAATGTTCACCAGCATACACACATTGAAAGACTTAACACGTATTAATAATTGTCCAGGGAGCCCCTGTTCAAGCGCCTTTGATTTCTTTCTCGCTATTTAAAAGAAGTGCAATAAAAAATTGCTTCCCCGTGGGATCAATCATGTACGAACAAATTCACATTTCAGAATTATTGTTATAGAAAATTTGTTCATATACCCTGTTTTGATAAAAGCGTAGAAGTAAAGTATAAAGCCTATGTATACTCCCAAAGCGAGACACAAGGCTACAGTTCAAGAAGATAAATATCCACTATTGAAACTATAGAGCAATTCAAGCAACAAATATTGCTACGTCACATAAACTATAGAACGCTTTACCAA